AAAATAGAAACTGTCATGGAAATCACAGCGCAGTAAGAAAAATAATTGTTTTGCGAAGCACAGTGACTCCCGGTAATTAAAAATTCACCTCTGCCCTCGTAATTGAGATTAAGGGATGAAAAAAGGGCAGTTCGACGGAGAATTAAATTCCCCATCAATTAACCCTCTTTCATCCCTTAATCTCTGTAACAAAAAAATATAAACTGCCATGAAAGTCAGGGGCTAGTGAGAAAAATAATTTTTTCGCGGCGCACACTGACTTTTCACCATTCGTCCGCGAATTAAAAATTCACTTCTCCCCTCCTAATTGAGATTAAAAATGGCAGCTCGACGGAGAATTAAATTGTCCATTAATTAACTCTCTTTCATCCCTTAATCTCTGTAACAAAAAAATAAAAACTGCCATGAAAGTCAGGGGCCAGTGAGAAAAATAATTTTTTCGCGGCGCACACTGACTTTTCACCATTCGCCCGCGAATTAAAAATTCACCTCTCCCTTCCTAATTGAGATTAAGGGATGAAAAAAGGGCAGTTCGATGGAGAATTAAATTCTCCATTAATTAACCCGCTTTCATCCCTTAATCTCTGTAACAAAAAAATATAAAGAGGGTTAATTAGTGGAGAATTTAATTCTCTGTCGAACTGCTTTTTTTTCATCCCTTAATCTCAATTAGGAGGGGAGAGGGGAATTTTTAATTACCGGGAGTCACTGTGCGCCGCAAACCAATTATTTTTCTTACTGCGCTGTGATTTCCATGAGTTTCTTCCATTTTTTACAGAGATTAAGGGATGAAAAAAGGGCAGTTCGACGGAGAATTAAATTCTCCACTAATTAACCCTCTTTATATTTTTTTGTTACAGAGATTAAGGGATGAAAGAGGGTTAATTAGTGGAGAATTTAATTCTCCATCGAACTGCCCTTTTTTCATCCCTTAATCTCAATTAGGAGGGGAGAGGGGAATTTTTAATTACCGGGAGTCACTGTGCGCCGCAAACCAATTATTTTTCTTACTGCGCTGTGATTTCCATGAGTTTCTTCCATTTTTTACAGAGATTAAGGGATGAAAGAGGGTTAATTGATGGGGAATTTAATTCTCCGTCGAACTGCCCTTTTTTCATCCCTTAATCTCAATTAGGAGGGGAGAGGTGAATTTTTAATTACCGGGAGTCACTGTGTGTCGCAAAACAATTATTTTTCTTACTGCCCTGTGATTTCCATGACAGTTTCTTCCATTTTTCACGGAGATTAAGGGATGAAAGAGGATTAATTGGTGGGTAATTTAGTTCTCCGTCAAACAGCCTTTTTTTCATCCCTTAATTTCAATTAGGAGGGGAGAGATAAATTTTTAATTCGCGGGCGAATGGTGAAAAGTCAGTGTGCGCCGCGAAAAAATTATTTTTCTCACTGGCCCCTGACTTTCATGGCAGTTTATATTTTTTTGTTACAGAGATCAAGGGGTGAAAGAAAGTTAATTGATGGAGAATTTAATTCTCCGTCGAACTGCCCTTTTTTCATCCCTTAATCTCAATTAGGAGGGGAGAGGTGAATTTTTAATTACCGGGAGTCACTGTGCGCCGCGAAACAATTATTTTTCTTACTGGCCCTTGACTTTCATGGCAGTTTTTATTTTTTTGTTACAGAGGTTAAGGGATCAAAGAGGGTTATTTAATGGAGAATTTAATTCTCCGTCGAACTGCCATTTTTTCATGGNCGGGAGTCACTGTGCGCCGCGAAACAATCATTTTTCTTACTGGCCCCTGACTTTCATGGCAGTTTTTATTTTTTTGTTACAGAGATTAAGGAATGAAAGAGGGTTAATTAATGGAGAATTTAATTCTCCGTCGAACTGCCCGTTTTTCATCATTTAATCTCAATTAGGAGGGGAGAAGTGAATTTTTAATTCGCGGGCGAATGGTGAAAAGTCAGTGTGCGCCGCGAAAAAATTATTTTTCTTACTGGCCCCTGATTTTCATGGCAGTTTATATTTTTTTGTTACAGAGATTAAGGGATGAAAGAGGGTTAATTGATGGGGAATTTAATGCTCCGTCGAACTGCCGTTTTTTCATTCCTTAATCTCAATTAGGAGAGGAGAGGTGAATTTTTAATTACTGGGAGTCACTGTGCGTCGCAAAACAATTATTTTTCTTACTGCGCTGTGATTTCCATTACAGTTTCGTCCGTTTTTTACAGAGATTAAGGGATGAAAGAAGGTTAATTGATAGGTAATTTAATTCTCCGTCAAACAGCCTTTTTTTCATCCCTTAATTTCAATTAGGAGGGGAAAGACAAATTTTTAATTCACGGGCAAATGGTGAAAAGTCACTATGCGCCGAGAAGAAAATTATTTTTCTCACTGGCCCATGACTTTTGTCGCAGTTTGTATTTTTTTGTTACAGAGATTAAGGGATACAACGGGGATCGATTGATGAGGAATTTAATTCTCCATCACACCGTCTGGGTTTCATTCCTTAATATTAATTAGCCAGCAAATGAATCACCTGAAAAACATTAAGAACATGTTGAAGACGAGGAGGACATAAGTTCGAGGGCATAAGAACATGTTGAGGACAGCGGGACTGCTACTGCCGAGTTATAGGGCTTCTAGCAGAAGTTTTCCCTTCCCGGGGTACCTCCACTCTACGGAATTCCCACTCATATGCTTGTCCCCCACTCCAAAAATCCATGGATATTCTTCTGGAAGAATAGCTCTACCCGCACAGGGTAGAGCGTAAAATGAGCCCAAGTAGAAGTTTCTATCAATAAATTTGAAAAAAAGGGGCTATCTTTAATGACAATTTTTTGAAAATTCATTTTTAAAAAATTCAGTCTATCAAATTATTTTTATAGTCAATCATTGTCTATCATTCGCCTATCAATGGATTCCCATGGTCAAAATAATTAATTTTTAATAATCAGGGGCTAACTTTTTAGAGCTCAGGCAGTTCGCCCAGCCGTCAGATTCAACCGTGGCGCCATCCCTCCATTGGGGTCGAACTATTTTTGACTTGGGGTCACTTGAACCCCGAGATCTGAGCCTCTACTTTAGTCAACCTTCTTTGGCCATCCCTGGCGGATCCCCCGATTGAGATTCGATCGACTGTCGATTGTAGAATCGAGTTGATCAGTATATCGATTCGTATGCGAGTGTAGTTCGATTCAGATCTCAGATTATTGATGGAATTGAACATGAATCGACTTCATAGGAAGTCGATAGCTAGTGAATTTCGAATAACAAAAATTGATTGCACCAAAACTTGAACGACTCAGGGGGTGGTCGATTATAAACGACTCCTTGCGGTCGGATCAGGATCGACTTGAATAAAGTCGATTGTGACTCGATTGTCTTCATTATTCAAGTCAATCGACCTACAATCGAGAAGTTATTCAGTCGTTTCACATTAGTTTCTTACACTTAGTAAATGAATCGACTCGCTGCCAAGTCGATGGTAGCTCGATTGTGCTCATTATTCTAGTCAATCGACCCACAATCGACCAGTTGTTTAGTCGTTTCATAATAGCTTTCATAATTTCAGTGGAAGAATCGACTGATCCTTGCGTCGATTGTGACTCGATTGTCCTCATTATTCAAGTCAATCGACACACAATCAACTAGTTGTTTAGTCAGTTCATAATAGTTTTCATAATTCCAGTGGGCGAATCGACTGATCCTTGAGTCGAATATTACTCGATTGACTTCATATTATTCACTTATATGAAACGACTCAACAACTGGTCGATTGTGGGTCGATTGATGTGAATAATATGCTGGCAATCGAGTCACAATCGACTTTCTTCAAGTCGACCCTGATCCGACCATAAGGAGTCTTTCATAATCGACCACCCCATGAGTCGTTCAAGTTTTGGTGCAATAAATTTTTGTCATTCGAAATTCACTAG